ATTAATATAATAATTAATTATTATATTACAATTAATATAATAATTAATTATTATTAATATTACTATTTATTAATTATTGATTATTGTTCATTACTATTATAATTAATTATAGAAGAACATTATAGACAACCCTCAGCATCCTCTTCATCAGACTGTCATACAACAACAAAGTGTCTTCAGTCAGAGGCTTCTTCAGATCCGTTGTAGGACAGACGCTACAAGAGATCCTTCCTGCCCACAGCCATCATCTATAACAGCTCTTTAATGAAACCAGGATGATGAGTTACAACAACATTTAATTTCCATCTGGGATTAATAAAGTATTATTGAATTGAATTGAATTGTGATGGACTGGAGACCTGTCCAGCTGTCCCCCACCTCTCGCACAGTGATTGCTGGACATGGGCACCAGTGACCCCCCACGACCCTAAAAAAGGAAGAAGCGGGTAAAATATAATGGATGGATGTATTTTTGCAATTACATGTAGTACCTGAATGCAACATGAAGACAAGTTACTGTCAACTTGTGATGTTACAAAAAGTTGTGTATATAAGATAACATCCTGATGCATGCTCAATAATCCAGGTAGAAAAATCTAAAAAAGTTAAATCTGGTCCTCTGGACATTCAAAAAAACAAAACAAAGACAAACAACAAAAAAATGTAGAAACGTTTCGTCTCTCATCCTGAGGACTTCCTCAGTCTGAGGTGCTGTATTCAGCTCAGTCTCTTAAATAGCACCTTCTCAGAGTGGATCAACCAGTTTGCTGCTGACAACCAAAACCAGCTGATCACATGATCAAGAAGGACCATCAGCCTAACAATGGATCATTAGCACCTGATGGCTTTTTACTACTCACAGAGGGCTGTGAACAGTAAACAGCCATCAGGTGCTAATGATCCATTGTTAGACTGATTGGTAACTCTAAATTGTCCCTAGGTGTGAGTGAGAGAGTGAATGGTTGTTTGTCTCGTTTGTCTCTATGTGTCCCTGTGATGGATTTGCGACCCGTCCAGGGTGTACCCCGCCCCTCGCACAGTGATTGCTGGACATGGGCACCAGCGACCCCAGTGACCCAAAATGGAATAAGCGGGTAAAGAAAATGGATGGATGGAGTAGCATATGTTTAAATTCATAATTTTGTTTTATTATGAATGATTTCAACAATGTAAGATCAGAATTTTGTGTCAATGGATGTGGAGTTCCTCAGGGCTCTATGTTGGGATTAAATGTGTTTATTTTGTATGTGAATGATGTGATTGATGTGTCAGAACTTTTGAAGTTTGTTTTATTTGCAGATGATACATTTTTTTTGTTCAGGAGAAGATATTGTCTGTCCAAACAGATCTCACTTGTAAATGAGTCTTTGAGGCTCAATGTGACTTATCTGTTTAAATAAAGGTTGAATGAATGAATGAGTGAATATTGAACTGATGTTAGAGATGATAAAGGCAGAATTCGTAAAAATACAAACTTGGTTCCAACTTAACAAGTTATCATTAAATTTGGAAAAAATGAACTACATGCTATTTAGTAATAGAAAAAAATTATTGAAGTCCTATTTAAAATTGACAGTATAGAAATTCATAGAGTTAATGAAATAAAATTTTGGGGTGTCGTTATTTATGAGAAGCTGACATGGAAACCTCATGTAAATTACTTAAGAATAAAAATAGCTAAATCAATTGCATTACTGTATAAAGTAAGAGTTTTGAATGATAAAGCTTTATACTGTAAGGGTCCCACTGCCTGCAGCCTGCCTTGCTGATGGCCGCTGATTACCAACACCTGGCGGTCATCAGCCTGATGAGCCTCTCCATCTACAAAAGGCTGCAGCCCAGTGTGACTCATCGCTGGAGCATATCACCTCTCATGGTATAGTACTGTTGAGCTAGATATGTCTAGGTGAAAAGAATTTGTTCACTTGTGTTCTCTTTTCCAGTTTCTTGGTTCCTCGTGTTTTTGGATCTCCTCGTGACCTGATCTGGATCCCTCAGCCTGTCAGGTATTCCTCGTGCCATTTTTGCCTCCAGTTGCCAGCCTTCCTCGTTCCCTTGGACCCTCGTTGGATTTCCCTCTGCTGCTCACTCCTTGGACTGAAGGACCAGCTCTCCTCCTTCGGGTTTGGACTATAAGGACAAAAACGCTCTTCAAACAAACCACTCAGGTCTTCCCCTCTGGACCAACATTAACCTGTCGTTCCTCTTTCCAGGAGCCTCTGTGAAGCAGCGTGTGGACACTTTAATATCACTGTACATAATAAACACTGTTCTTTTGTACTTCCCCTGTGTCTGCCTCGTTCTGGGTCTCATACCATCTGGGTTCCCCGCGCACTCCTAACATGTACATATAGTATAATGTAATGATTATTCCATATTTAATCTATTTTATTGAAGTTTGGGGAAAAGCATGCAAAACAATTACAAATCCTATTTTTATTTTACAAAAAAGAGCTATAAGAATTATTAGTAGAATGTGCTATGGTCACCCAACAAATATATTGTTTCATCAGTTGACATTATTAAAATTTTATGATTTGGTTGAATATCGTATTTTACAAGTCATGTATAAAGCTCATTAAAAATATTACCCCCCCAAATATTCAATTAAAATTTCTTTTAAAAAGAGTGATTATAACCTTAAGGGAATGGAAATGTTTGTAAAACCTCCATTTAGAACTGGTCTGAAGGAGCTGAGTTGTAGTTCAGGGAACAGGATTGTGGAATTGCCTTGATATCACCATAAACATTTATAAAACAATTTATATGTTTAAAAAGATGATTAAGGTAAAGTTGTTGTTAAAGTATGGCATCAAGTGAAGGATGCCTGATGTTTTTTGTTTTCACTTTATTTTGATTGTTTAAGCTTGTCATAGGCGTCGCAACCATTATATGTGAAGGGGACAAGTCCCCCCCACATAAAAAAAAACGTTCATTTGGACCCCCCCACTTTTACTATGAAACATTAGTTCAGGCGGCACAGTTTCTCTTTCTTCGTGATCAAATCCATTCCACTTGATTAATAGGAGAATACTCAAACCACTAAAACTCAACTCCAGGTTTTCCTGGTTACCTCCAACTCTAAACACAGCAGCCTGTTGCCATGGTTACAATATACGGTGGTCACAGAATATGGTGCAACACCTACAGTGTTTCTGTGCGTCTCCTCCTGCCTCAGCAGAAAACGTGCACAGGTGGAGGAGGTGGAGGTTCCTGTGTTACTCGCCAGTTTAGCAGCTTAGTGCGGGCATGTGTTGACCAGGGGGTTGATCATCAACATGTATTCATGTTGGGAGGAGAGAAGAGGAGCTGCATCTGTAGCATCTTATCTCAGCAGGAACTGTGAGACTCTGCAGGTGGAAGAGACTCTGTGTGTTCAGGTGCATTAAAGTAGAAATGTCTTTAAAATCCACACCTTACTGTCCTCAAGCTTCATGACAAACATCATTTACATGAGGAGTGTTGAACACAAGTAAAAAAGTCCAGTGATGGTTTTTATTTCTCTATAAAGACAAATAGTGTCGACCTGACGCTCTGTGTTAAAGTGTATTAAAGATAAAATGTCTTTAAAACCACAGATGAATTTACACAAACTTGGTGAGAAACAGGTTTTAAATGTGTGGAATTAAAGGAGATCTAGGAGAAATGCTGCTTTTTAGTTCACTAGTGAACACCTTATTTATGCTCAGCACATGCACACTTACACACATCATCGTGTCCCCCCACATTACGGATGCTTCGGACGCCCTTGGCCTGAGTTGTTGTTCGTTCGTTTATTTTATATTTTTTAAATAAGTGGCAGATATAAGTATTTTCTTCTTTCTGCACCCTTTTCATTCAATGTTTGTTTTTGTTTTTGATGAATTTGCTTTGTTTAATATGTTTCTTTTAAATGAATGAATGAAAAATGAATAAATAAAAAATAAATAAAATTTTGTTTAAATCTGACATATAGACAAGCATTGTTATATCTGTGTGTAAAATGTTATAACTACTTAAAAGCCACAAAATGTAGGAAGAGTCTAATAGGTCATAATGCAAATTTATAAGCATTGCTCAAAATGAACAGATTTAAATGTCCATATTCATGTAAGACAACATGCACTGCCAGCATGCATATTACTGCATATATGTGGATTATAATATTCTTCATGTGGGTGTTTAAGGTCATACAAATTCACGCATGTTACCCTCAAGTGAAACACTTTCCCACACCTTTGAAAATGCACATAAAGTCTTTCTGAGGCTGTAGCACAAGCATGGCCTCTCCTAAACAGAATGTGAATCGGTCCGGTGCAGTTTGGAACGTGTGTGTGCGTTCTCCTTCCTGTTTCACAAACCTCACCCCTTGCTTTGCAAATTTTGATCCGGCTCTGAGTGCAGTCATTTCTAGTGCAGAGAAATGTCCCTGGTGACACCGAGGGATGACGCAGGCTCTCTTCCTCCCTGTTCTACTAACCCCCCACCCTCTCACTTCTTCCAGCTAACACTATATTTTCACTTTTTTGACTTGCTCTCCCTTACAATTTTGTCCCTGATTTGGTACTACCCTTTTCTCTATTTCCTCTCTCAGACTCCCTCTCTCCCCCTCTCCTCTCGGTGCCTCCCTCTGTCTTCCCTCCTTATCATTCCGCTCTGCCACTGCAGTGCTGATTGTGACTGAACACACAATCCCACTGGCACACGCACGTACTCACGCACACAGGAGTGCAGCTGAGGAGTGAGGACTGCAGCAGCATGCAGCAACTGTGAGCTGAGCCGTTCAGAGACTCGAGGAAGGAGAGCTCAGGAGAGAAAACAGAGTGCCGTCTCAGAGCAGCCTGCGTGTGCATCTTTGCAGAGGTGGAAGTGATGCATTTCAAGAGCAGATAGCTCATGCTATTGAGCCTCCGCTGCACTGCCTCTGCACCCCGTTCACCCTGCTCCTCCCACTCCAAATCTTGTTCCTCCTCCTCGCTTCAGCATCAATAGACAGGACTACAGACTGACCGGTACTGACAAGTGGTGGATGATCAGGATTTCTTCAGGGGCTATGCTACATCTGTCTCCTTTGATGGCTGGATTGGAACTGATAATCGGAGCTAGAAAATAACCCCAACCTGCATTGAACCTTGGATGTGTTTGTAATTCTTTACCAGTGTTGTCACTGGCACGTCTCCTCTTTTTTCTTTGCTGGTTGTTTTTGCCTTCTCTGAGACTGGCTAGCAGGCACTGCAGCATGAGGACTGCAACATCCATGAAGCGGTAGAGCATGAGGACCCAGGGGCGACCCTAAGGAAGGGCTTGAGTACTTCCATTGCTACCACAGCTGAGGTGCTTATCTTGATTTTTTTTCCTTCTTCTCTAGGAAAGGGCGTCTGGTGGGGGGTGGGGGGCTGGTGTGGGCAGTGACAGCACAGGTAACTAGGCCCCTGCAGAGCAAAGTGGGTGGCTCTTGTGTAGAGGAGGCAGGCAGGACGTCCTGTGGGAAAGGGGGAAAGAAGTGCTGGCTCGAGCATTGGCCTCCTGATGGTGGCTATTTTTGTCTCCCCTAGCTGAGCGATTGGGACAGCAGGTGGAGGAGAAGATGCTTATGGCCCGAGACACTGCGCGGGATGAGGCACAGAAGCTGCACAGGAAGTGGCTGAAACACCAGGCCTTTATGACAGAGCTGGCCCGCAATAAAGAATGGCTGGCCAAGATAGAACAGGTGAGTGGAGGTGACCAGGAGCAGGGCAGAGAGAGCACATGCTAAGGTAAGCATATGTCTGAGAAACAAATTTAATCATTAAAAAGGTGAAATTAGGTGAGATGTCATTACTCAGATTTCATTTCAGCGCAGGAACATCTTGTTACACTCACAAGGTTATAAATATTGACAAAATAGTGTTGTTATTTTCAGCTTTACATATGGTGTGATCCTAGGGCTACGTGAGGGTATTTTTGCATTCAACATTAACTTATAAGATTTTGAGTTGAGAGCTTCAGTAAATCTTACAGAAGACCTGCAAATTTTACAGCTATAAAAGGGCAGAAATAGCATGTACATGTTGTAGAGTATCAGATACAGTGGACATGTAGTCAGTTTGCATGATTAAAACATTCACTGCTTGGCTGGTTAGACCTGCACCGTCATTGTCTGCATTCTGGGTCCTCTCCATTTTCAGCTTTTGGACAATATTTCAAAGGGCACACCATTTTCTGCTTAACCAGCCAAACACTCGAACATATTGTAACATAATGACAAGGTGCTTGTCTCAGTGATCTATTCAACTTTACTTGCACGTGGGTTATTTATGAAAAGAACTGTGGGTCTAAGGACCACAAGCAATGATTATCACTCACCGCTTAAAGGCAAAGCTGGGTGATCATGTTTTGTTCTGGTCCGTGTGTGTGTGTGTGTGTGTGTGTGTGTGTTCCCAGCTGGTCAAAGCAGATGGCCACTCCTGAGGCTGGTTCTGCTGGAAGTTTCTTCCTGTTAAAAGTTTTTCCTTTCCACTGTCTCCTTTATGCTTGCTCAGGATGGGAGACTGTGATGAGGTGAAGCACAATCAACACAATCTGCTTCCTTGGATAGAGAACTTTTTCTAATTGGCTTCTTTATGTATGTGAACATTTTTTTCTGTGCCCTGAGACAACTTTGTTGGGACTCAGAGCTTTATAAATAAACTGAATTGAAATGTTTGTTCATGCGTCTGTGTGTTAGCAAAATATCTCATGAACCACTTGACAGAATTTATTGAAACTTGCAAAAAGGAATCACTGTGGATGTATGTCTACAACTTATGTGCTTATAAGATCAAACTAATTCAAGATGGCTTCCACAAAAAACTGACTTTGAAAAAAACAACATGGCCATAACTCAGTCAAATTTACAGAATGACCAAAAAATTGGTGTGGTAGTAGCTGACATTGATCCCCAACCCATATTTTGAGCACTAACGATGTATAAGCTCTTTGTTTTAAAATTTGCCAGGAACTTAGAGTCAATGCAAGTCTGTATGTTAGCAAAATATCTTGTCTATCACTCACTTACCACTAAACTTTCAGAAAATTATCCTTACATGTACTTCTACAAATGGTAAGTAAACTCAAAAATGGTTATGAGCATTCTAGAACTGCTCCGCTCCAGGTGGCTGCATGTTGGAGCAGCTCTCTTTCATTCTGAGATTTTGCTTTTGGAAACTTTAATTCCTCTTTTTCTGGATGTAAATCACATTTTTTTGGATGATTGTTTCCTCTGGTATCAGATGCTGTGCAGCTGGAAGGATTTTTACTGAAACTCTTTTAGTTTTGGACATTTGTTATGATGCGTAACCATGGCAACAAGGCAGTTTCTACAACCAACAGCTGATTAACATCTCAAAAGCTCAAATAATATCTCAACTACAGCCCCAACTCTCAAATGAGTTGAAAAGGATGTTCTGTGGATGCATTCTCATCTACCTGCCAGCTGTGCTCGAGTGCCTGACCACTGAGATCCTGTAACTGGCAGGAAACACGGCTCATGACAGAGGAAGGACAGGATCGTCCCTCAGCACCTACAGTTGGCTGTCCGCAGTGACGAGGAGCTCAGCAGCTGCTGGGAGGAGTGGCCATCGCTCTGGGAGGAGTTCTGCCCGGCATTCAGGCGGTCCTACAGCCCGGGGGAACCGAGAGGCCAGCCGAGTCTGGGTGGACGGATCGGACGGCATCTGCAGCCAGTTTCTTAGGATCCACTGAGGGATGGACCTTTACAAGAGATCCTTCCTGTCTACAGCCATCAGCATCTATAACATCTCTTAATGAAATGAGGATAATGAGTTACAGCAACAAATAATTTCCCTCTGGGATTAATAAAGTATTTTTGAATCGAATTGAATTGAAGTATAGCTGTAGCTCTGCTATGCACTGTTCATTTTTACCATTTGAAACAGACAAATCAGTTTAGTATTTTTTATCTTTGTGTTGAGATGAAAACGTTTAAAGGGCAGTATCTGGACCACGGGCCACTTGTTGAACAGGCTTGGTCTAGACTCTAAAGTGCAACATGACAAACCCAGCATACATTTCATGCCTGACAACCAAGATGGCTCCTGAAAAATCCATCATTAGATAATAAACTGTAGTAGTACTTGTGTTCAAGGGGTGTGGTTATAATTAGTTTTTCTGCTATCTAATGAATATTGTATTATACAGCATATACTACCATTAATGTGTGCAAAAATCTATACAGTCTAATGAATTTCTTAATGCATTCAATAAAAATTAATAATTAAAAACAAAACAATGTCAGCTAACATTCCCAGGATATTATTCAAGCGGTAAATATATTTTACATAGGTCAAAGTTTGACAAACAGAAGAAGATGTTTTATTCCAGCAGTCCCTCAATATGACAGGATTTGACAGTTTAGAAAACACGCACAATAAATAAATGAACAGTAAAAACGATCTCTGTCATTACAGTAAATGTCAGTTTACTGAGTGCCCTCCTTGGTGCCAAGTGAAATGCACACATTTAGTGAGCAATCTGTCCACTTCTTTTACTTGCTTAAAAAAAGTTTTCTGTATAAATTGTAAGACTGTTTTGCATCAAAAATGGTTTCTCTCTGACATTTTACTAATGTTTCTTTATGCCTGAATACAGGGAAAAAGAAAGTTCTACTTTATGCTCCGTTATTTTCTCTAAACACAAACGATAAAGTTTATTCAACAGTTCTGGAGTATTATTTATTTCATTACCCACCACACAGATTTTAATGAGACTTTCTAGAAACAGTTATTGGGTGCACATCAGTAACTCTAACTTTGGGAGTTTACTCAATTTAAGATGCCTGGCCCCATCAACTGACCTTCAGAAACATAATAATTGCCATAATTTAGTCAACTTTACAGAAACTGACCTAAATTTACGTACGTCAGAAGCTGAGATAGATCCTCAACGTGTGCTCCTAACACTAACCGATTACATTATTTCCTAAAATGTCACTGATAACTATTTGAAGTCAATCCAATTCAAGATGGCCACCATAACAAAATGACCTAAGGGAACTCAGGGACAGCTATAACACAGTCAGTTTTACATATATAAAGCTAAAATTAATCAGAATCAGAATAAGCTTTATTATCATTGTACCGAGATCCAGCGAGAATATGTCCGTACAGTCGTCTGAAAGATGGGCGGAGTGTAGGTAGCTGCTGCTATAAAACAAGGCCTTCTTATCCTTTTTAGAATACATTTTTTTAGATAGAAAAAGGGACAAAGACATCAGGAGAGAATGGTGGCATTACAAAAAAACGATTTCTTCACACTTTGTCCTAACAGGACACGATTTAAGACATCAAAAACTCTGCCAGCAGCACATTGATGAACACGTTACATGTGCATTTGACGACCCGGCGGTCTATGAAGCACTAACAGATGGTCCATTTTCCTGATAAGATGTTGGTCAGCCGGCACAGTTCTGATAAGCCTCCACAGAAGTTGGGGGGGGGGGGGGGGGGTTAGACGAAGCTTTCCTTAGTTTACACATTTCCCAGGAGAAATTGATGTGCCAGCCTGCTTTTGAGGCCAGCCGGAGGAGTCAGATTCAGATAAGTCACAATTATTGACTTATTCAGACAGACTATTTTTCTTGTCAGCCTTGAGTCTTACTAGTATTTTTAAGATCCGACACGGCCAGATTAGGGTGCATTCTACTGGTCCATGCTTACGAGCCTCTCCAAGGTCGTTTCATGCTGGCGAGTCCCAAAGCTGCAGGTGGTCTACGATTCTCACAAATCACTTTAATATTATGGTTTAGCTCATAAATCAGCTGATTTTGAGTCCTCAAAGCACGAACCAAACCTTCACAAGCAGGAAGCCTGACGAGGGCCAAATTAGCTGCGGCCTTTTTCTTTGTATGCTAATAAACCAGGAACCAGCCAATTTCAAAAAGCATAAAACTTGTTATCATAAATCCAATTGTATATGTCTTCGGCGTCCTCCTGAGATTCTCAGAGGAACATGAGGGCTCTCCAGAACCCTGTTGCTTTGTTGAAAAGATTTTGTCATTTTTGTTGAAAGTCCAGTTGGTCAGATCCAAAATAGTAGTTTTCATTTCAGAAGATGTGTAAAATAGGAGCTGTTCTGATGCACAGACAGAGAGCAAAAAAGCAGGAGGAGAACAGGAGAGGGAAGAGAATGCATGCATCCACCTCATACCAGAGCAAGGGAGGAAAAAAAATATTAAAAATTACTTTGGAAGAAGCTGAATTTTACACATACAATGAAGGACATTTCCAAGGTTTGCCCCAAAGTTTTCTGTGTCATTTTTCAGCTTAATGTGTAGGGAGGCACCGATCCACATTCTTTAACTTCCGATCCAATCCCGATACCTACATCTAGATATCGGCTGATACCGATCCAGTTTCGATATCATGATCATTGATTTTATATGAGGCTGTAATAATCTGCTCTCAAGTACAATTTGTACAAATATATGCATGCATGTCCAAAAAGGCAACTTGAGGTAAGTTTTATTAATGTTGGATAAGTTTTAAAGTTAGAATTAAATCCTGCTAACACAAAACATGTTTCTTTTTATTCCTAGTTTTAAAGTGGATATTAAAGTGATTAATTTAAGTGATTGTTTAAAGTTATTTTATACTTTTTTTAAATAAGGGTCAGATATAAGAATTTTTTTCTTCTTTCTGCACTCTTTTCATTCAATGTTTTCTTTTTGATGAA